CTAGAATAAGAAGATGATAGACTCTAGCTATACGAGCGGCTATATACTAGTTAAAGTATTTTACCTACTCTATACTAAGCTCGTCTATCGTCTAGCCGTTATCTAATACGCTAATAGTCTAGTTAAGTAGAAGTTCTTTATACTAGGCAGCCTAGTGGACTTTACTAGATAGTATTATAAATAGTAGAAGATACTAGCTAGATGTTACACGGGGTTGGGTGCTGATACTTCTCTAAGCTCGGTCCGGGTTAGGGCGAGTGAGATGGGATGAAGAGCTCCGTGAGGTTGTCTGGCGATTCGTAGTGGAAAAGAGTTATGGATGTAACCGGGTTTGACAACGCTAATCTATTGGATAGACTAACATGTAACTATCTTGTGAAGTAACAATACTAGTAAGAAAGTACAATTTGAGTTGACCACAACGAGAGTAATAATGAAATCCATCCATCCTTATATCCTCATTGCTTCCAGTCCTGCCATCTTGCCCATCTCTCCTTGGCGAGATGGTAGAGATGGCACTGCCATCTCTCGGCGTCCTGCCATCTCAGATGGCTGGCCTTGGCGAGATGGCACATCACGTGACTCCGAGCCCCGCGATGATCCATTACCTTTTGACGTGGACGTCCCTAGGCTTTCAGCCGTCTCGTCATTTGTCAAGGAGAGAATCCTTCTTGTTACTTGTAACACTAGACGCGTTAACGCACTTAATAGCTATTACCTACTTACGATTGCTTGGCTGGACGATAACTACTCTACCTACTCTATTAGCGCTAGTAACTACTTTTAACGTTCTAGCGATACCTATCGCGAATCTAGTCTCGTTAAAGTTGTAGATATCCTAATCTAGGACGCTATACGTCTGGCGCGTCTTCTCTATAAGCTTAAACTAGGCTATAATTGCGATAAGATCCTCGCAGAAGGCGCGCTAACTATATAGCTTTCTAGTCTACTTTATTTAAAGCTCTGGCTAGCTTTGGATAAAGCGCGATATCTAGTTCTTACTAATAGGTAGTGGAGATGGATCTTGACCACGCGCGGCGAGTAGAGCGTCTGCCATTCGTCGCACGTCAATAATATAAGGCGGAAATCCTCGTCTATCAAGGTCTAGAATCCACTACACAAGAGACTGCTCCTTAATAGGTGATAGCTTTTAGTTAACAGAGACTGTCTCTGAGCGTAGCTGGGTACCGCGGAGGCGCGTTCGTAGTGTTGATTCCGGCACATCGTACGCTACTGCAAAGGCGCGGAGAGATTTTTTTTAATTATTTTAATACGATAATACAGCAAGACAAAGTCTACCTTCACGAGCAGTCTGTACAGAACGTTGTTATCGCGGCATGGTGGTGGTTGTGTGGAGAGTCGCGTTAGGTTGAGTGGGGTGCGCAGCTTACTGGTGTGCGCAGCTTACTAGTGGGGTACGTTAACTATTATTACTATTTAGCTATATCTAAGTCGCTTTATAATTATGTATAGCATTCTATTAAGCAAACTATACTACTCTTACAGATTCACACTATACGGAAGCATTTATGTTTTATTTTTCATTAGGGGCTCGCTTGCGGCGATTAGTTGATCAAAATTTTGTTAGAAAAGCAACAGGCTGCCCCTTAACCCACTAAGAATTAACTATTAAAGAAAAGAACCTCTCTAAGTAAAGAAGAAATACAATGTATTTAAAAGAGTGTTTAGAAGTTACGGCTACACAGAAATGTACTCAGAATATAGACAAGTGCTGCTATAACCCTACTGCCTACCAAAGCAGGTCGAGTCGGCAGCACCATTCTGCTTACACTCATTCCAGAAGGCTTTTCCATCAACAAAGCCAGATGTTGCGTAGGCCTATAATATAAGTAAGTTACAAGCTAAGAGTTTTAACTAACTAACAGAGTTGCTTACATAATACCCAGTAAAGCGAGCGCCATACTCGCCGCGTGGAGTCTCTCGGATATCTGCTTTGTGTAAGTTTTAACTTCATACTATTTAATATTTTGCATAGACAAACCCATTTTCCACCTGTGCCCATTATAGCTAACGACACGCGTAGTAGTGTAATTATCTATGCCAGATTGAGAGGAGTACTGGCACGCGCAGTGCGTGTACCTCGCGCGTTTATCAAGTTCGCGGGCCTCAACTTCAGCCCCAACGGGGATAGAAGCTGCCTGTCCAAACCTAGAACAGACGTTAGAAAGATTCTGCAGATTCCTTTTATGAGTTGGGCTCACTTGGAGATGCAAGCCATAGCAAGAGCGAGGGTGGAGATAGAGAACTGCATTTTGAAGCAGATTGACTTGGAGGATTGTAGATAAAGAGAATTTAGAAGATTGAGATTCAAGCCTGTAGTGATGCTTCTACATGAACGAATTCAAAGCCTTCTTATATACCTTTCAAACCTCCATGATTACATAATTGGTGAATAGGTCTCTGTAGCCATCTCGCTCTTTCAGACATCACCTGTCTCTCGTCCGTGTGGATCCCACTATACGACGGATGGTTTTTCGGACATTGAACATGACCTGTCCAGTCAGTGTGAGGTCTTGGTATAGATTCGGATTCTGTATAAGGTCTGTGCATATATCGTATTCTCATCACGTCACGCTAGTGAGTGGAGCAATTAGTAAGACCTACCTGACATCATCAGCACTAAGATGCCTAGTTGATCATGTTCTTCTCCACTAATCAATTGTTATCACTCTGGCCCACAATAATCCCTTTTCTTATTCTGAATCGGGATAAGATTTACTAAACGAAGATGAATTTCTCACGAGACCTTCAATGCTGTAGCTACAAGAAGTGGAAAAGTAGGCCCTACTGTGATATATTCTCGCAAGTACAACACGATTATTGGCCAAAAACCTCTCTTTCTAGTCAATAAAACGACCGAAACTATTGATTGCTACAGCTGATCAGTTGAGAAATTGGTTTCTTCGGCATCAGTAGAAACATATATAAACATCACTCTGCATCCACTCAGGATTCCCTATCAAGCTCAATCCACCTATTCCCTACACTTTCACATCCAGATAATCTTATTCAATACTGAATACTCCTTTACCTTCGAGAAAATGATTTCTGCCAAATTCCTCGCTCTTGCCTTAGGCTTTGCCCTTGGTGCTCAAGCTAGCGACAGCCCTTCTGTCGACGTAAATGTCATTTCCGGAAACATTGCTAGCGCAAACATCAATGCATTCTGGGATACTACTTGGCCAAAAGTGCAGAAGCATCTTCCCGGCATTGAGTGCTCAATTGGTGGACACGCCGAAGGAAAGAACACATCCGATTCCTGCAAGGAGATTGAGGCTAGCCTCGTCCCTATGTTTCCCGGCATTCATTGCACTGGCAATCTCGACGAAGTTGCATTGAAAGCAAGCATCAATGCCCCCGTCACTGTTCTGCGCCGCGAGTCTTCACTCGAGCGCCGCAGTCGTGAGCTGGAAGCAGCTGCGAAGAGAGAACAGCAGAAAGCCGATCAACAGATTGATCAGAAGAAACGGTCAATGCTTCTCTCGTGTGCTGATGCTCCTCACCCTGGCAACTGCTACACTTGTGTTGCAGCTGGTGCAACTCAAGCCCTTACAAGTGGAGGAAAGTGTGTCCTCGCATTTAGTATCGCAATGGCTGCGCTTGCGCGCGGTCAGCCTCAACCAGGCGGTGAGAACAACGGCAAGCTTTGGACTGGTTATGGTGTCTGCCTTGCCAGCGTCATTGGAGATATGGGTGCCGGGGTCGCTGGTTGCCCTCTTCGAGTAAGTACCAAATACACAATACTTGCTCTGAATAAATGCTAATTATTATCTAGTAAATGAAGAGACATGTCTGTCTAGAGTTGCTAGAGACATCGGCTCTACTGCAGCTAGTAGAAAGTGGTGGCTTGTGTGGTTGTTGGGCGATTTCGTAGAATAGATCTGTAGCAGTCAGCGAATGAAGGAAGAAAGTTATCTAGATTGCTATAGACTAATTAATTCTTAATATGGGTAGAATTTTAGTTTCCTTTAAAAAATAAATAAGGCACTACCTAGCTGTTACGACTAGCCTCAGAATACCGAGGGTATTTTCGCCGATACATTTGTTTAATGAGTAATATATGAGAAGACGGAACAACCGCAAGAAAAGACTTGCATTTATTTAGGACTAGTACATCACCTAACCTGCATAATGCTTAGTAATTAGTATGTCTTAACTAACTAGCACTACTGAGCAACTTAGCACTCTGCATGTCAACCTGCAAGTTGCTTAGCAATTAGTACTCCTTAGTAGTACTAAGTAACTGAGCATACTATATAAAGCTCTAGTATATAGCATTAGACATTAAGCCCTTATAGCTTGATGTGTTTAACTCAAGTTGCGAGTACAAGTACAATATAACATTATACTTGCCTAAGTTACTGTCCAGTGCACACTGTCTCTCTATCTGCGAAAACCAACCAACAAGAAGCTTGATACCAGAAGTCTAATATTACTTCCACTCGAGCTATACTTGTAATGGAGTTACATGCCTATATATATTATGCTACACTAGAATAATCAGTTCAGATTATTCTCGTGCTTAGCTTTTGCGGGTGGGTTGGCTGCGGCCGAGTGGTTGTCACGTAGTATTGACTTAGTGGGCATTGATGCTCACCTCCGCTACAATACTCTTAACACTAGCATATATCTCAGACAAAGAAGCCATGTCTCGATATTCTTTTACACTTACAAACTTCATCCATTATAGTCTAGTAGCACGTAACTAGCCTAACCAATATAAGGCGTCGAAAGAAGCCTAATTCGTGACAAAACAGGCTTAGCGTTAGGGTTTCGTACTATATTTAGCGATTTTATTACGCCCAACTCGCACTTAAATAGATTCAGCGTTAGAGTTGATTTTACTATAAGCGTATTCTGTTAAAGTATTAGGTAGCTGCTTATTCCACTAATAGTAGACTTAGAGGCAGCCTGATCAATAGACTGTAGTGAGAAATATGGTGCTAGGGGAGAGAGACAAAGTAATCAAAGTAGTCAAGTTAGACAATCTGTAAGAGACTGTGCTCCGGGGAGCAATCACGAGGTATACAAGAGGTTGTATTTGATAAGGAGCTATCTATTCTACTTGCGTGATGTTTATTTACTCGTCGGAGAAAGGTTATGCCGAAGTATCTGAGCGCGTTGTCTGAGCGCTGATCGGGCGGTGAGAAGAATCCGGGTGCTCTGAGTGACACCCGGATTCTGCGCTCGTCATCTGAGTATAGTTCGGATGGCGCGCACGTAGCTTGAACCGAGATCTCATCGAGGAGCTATCCAAAGGGCGTTCAGCCCGTTACACAATCTGATTTGATTATAGTGATCCGCTCTGGTTCCTATCTACTAGCTGTTCTACTGCTATATATATTAACTGGAATAGATTCTAGGAGAATCTATCTAGTAGTAGATTACGTAGCTATAGACGTAATAGATAGATAAATTAGTTCAGGGATCGATTGATTGAAGAATACGGGTGTAGTGTCGAGCACCCGGATTCTATTAGAGATCAGCTGATTAGCTTAGATCTCTAACAGAGACAACTAATGACTACATAAAGTTTTCTTGTCACACAACTCCTCACCTATGCGTGTGACAGCAAGCTTACGCTAAGCATGTGAAAAGTGGTGCGGGGTAAATTGTTTCTTGGCATGATATATTATTATTATTATTATTTTGGTTTTACGTCCTGTCTCAGCCGGTGGGCTATATAAGACGTGCAGGCTAGGCCCGCAAGTATCTACGTAGTGCTATCACTTTGGTGTAGGTGGGGGAGGGGGCTATCTAAATCGAGGTGAGGCTCGTAGCCTAGTCTAGAGGGAGGTAGAAGGGGGTCTTGCGGGTAAAAGAGAGAGGTAGGGTGGGTGTAGGGCGAGGCCACCTAGTATAGGTGTTGCCCTAGTTCTCGAGGTTTCCTTTGTGCCAGGCCTGTGTTGCAGCCCTAGTTTCTTCAATAAAGGCAATAGTAGCCTGTATGCCTACGCTCGTGTTTAGCAGGAAGGCTAGCGATAGGGGGTCCTTGCTCGCCTCCTGCATCTTTATCCTAGCCTCCTTATATAGCGTACAGCTAAGGAGGATATGGGTAGGATCTTGAGTAGCTCTATAGTTGCAGGGGCAAACTTTAGAGTCTACTTTGTCTCGCGTAAAGAGAAAGTCTCTTAGGTAACAGTGGCCTAGCTTAAGTTGAAAGAAGGCGCTAGAGACTTCTCTACTAGTAAGAGGAGGAGTGGCAATCTGCTTCCTAGTCTTCCACTTATACCTTGCAGCATAAGTAGTAGAGTTGAGGGCAATAGCCTTCCTCCTATATTGTT